AATATATACTATATACAAGGCACTGTGCACATCTACTGTGAGGTGTAAGACAGGAGAAATCTTTGCCCTCATCAAGTTGATAGGACTCTAGGGAAAATGAGCAAGCAAATACAATAAACACTTATATATAATTGCAAACTGTACTGAGTTTTATGAAAGAAAAAAGAGGGCTCTAATACAGAATATGGATTTAATTTTTACTAAGCACTTACTATGTAACAAACATTGTACTAAGCAATGAATACCCCTTACATGAGTAAATGAATAATAATTATATTCTTATATATAATATATGGAAAAGCATTATGTACTTGCATACTCTGGTCAAAATGCCTGATTAATTATCTGTTCTGAACCAAAGTATGAATGGGGTTAGTAATGCAGAGTTTGATAATAGCAGATATTGTTCTTGCAAGAACCTAACTGTCCAAAAAGAAGCTCGCTGTTACTTCACTATTATTATTTGACCATTAACTAAGACAACTCACAGGAAAGCCATCCAGAATATACTGTTCTCCCTGTTTCTACCATTCCTTAGTCTATTTTCCATGCAGGAGCCAATTCACACTGTGCTTCTGCTCAAAACTGCCCACTGGCTTCACATATCACTCGAGGGAATAAATGCAAAGTTCTAACAAAGGCCACCACCACTAATTCATTGGTTGCAGCCACTATAGACTCCTTGCTCATCCCCTAACAAGCCAAGCTGATTCCACCATATACTTTTTAGACTTTCTTTTTCCTCTGCCTGGAATTCATTTTCTCAAGTTTACACCTGGCCTTTTCTTTCGTCTCTTCAGGTATCTGAAGTCCTTCTCCATCACCCAATATCAACAGCACCCCATCTATCTCCGTTACTCATGTTCTTTTTCTTCAAAGCACATAATGCTCACTACCTGATACATATTTGTCAATATTCGCATGTAGTCAGTGGTTATTCTAAAGGACTTCGCAAGTGTCAATGGTGTGGAGGAAGAGGAAAGGAAGCCTGTCAATAAGGAAGGAGGGGCAGAGCAACATGTTGTCATGGAGCTGAGGGAGGATAGGAATGAAAAAATAGAGTGCATACAGAAACTCATAAATTGGGTGAAAAAGAGTTCTTCAGGGCCTAAGGTCAACTGAGAAAAGGTGAGTTGAAAGCCAAACTATCAAGTACAAGTACACTCACTGGTGCTTTTAGGAATAAATCAGCCAATTGAGTTTATTTGCATTGTCCACAGTATGAGAAGAAGACATAAAATGCTAGTCAACATAGACCACGAGATCAAGCAAATGGGTTTCTAATTAATAAAATTCATAATAGCTATTTAAGGACCTCAGGCGAAGGAGAATCTTTTAGCATGTCAATTATTAAATAAAACAAAGTTTTATAGTGTCCTAAAACTGAAAGATATCATTCTAAATAAAGATTTCTGGTCTTCATTCAACCACCAATTCTCTGGAAATGTGGGGCAGGTCACTTAAATTCTAGACCTTTGCATTTAAAATAACAATTGGCCTACATTTTCTATTAAGAAAACTAAAGTTATATCCTCCTTTTCCAAGAAATACATCATTCCTCTCCGGTATCCAGAATGCAAAAATATATAAAATATATATATATGTTTTAGTAAGCAATTTTCTCCTTAAAAAATCCACAGGGAAAATTTCTCAACATTTTCCAAACTCTGTATTTTAAAAGACAACTTATATTTGTAGCAGGTAGAGGGAAAACCTCTGATCTCAAAAAACTGGCAAATGTTTACAGCACAGAAAAAGACAATTCCTTGATTTAATTATAGCAATTCAAATGATATTTTAGTGTGAAATATTTTCCTCTTTCATTTCTTTCTTCATGCTTCATTGTTGCTGAATTGCAAAAATATTATTGATGTGATGACTTAAAAAAAAAAACTAGAGATGACAGCCTTTAGATATACCGATAATAATAACTGACATTTCAAAGCACTTTGTGATTTACAAAGCTCTTTTACATAGATTGTCTCATTTAATTATCACATTACTCTGTAGGAATTAATAATATTATGCATAATTATCCCAGTTTAATAAGAAAACTGGTAGCCATTCAGTAAACTGAGTTAATAACTGATAGAATACTGGAAACCAGGTATTTGAACTTTAAATTCAGTACTCTTTCCAAGGCAACTCTCCCCCAGATAAATATTAATTTTATAGCTATATAACTCCTCTGATTTTTCTAGATACATCATTAAATGCTACCAGCATAATCAGGAATATTTAATATGTCTGCAGCCTGACTCTTTTTACGTATTAAAATATTATTAGGAAGGTATTTCATATGTACAAATTATCAACTCTTAAGAAATAGCCTACCCTAAAAAGGCAAACATTAGATCAAATTCCATAAACAGAATCTCATGTTTATTAATGATTTCTGTTGGAAAAATATACTCACAAATCAAATTGAAAATCCTGGAGATGAAACATTATGATTTAGGACAAGCTTATAGCATGACAGAGACAGTTTCAGGAAATTTTCATGAAATTTTATTGCAGCATTATTTGCAATAATCAAAATATAGAATCAACCTAAGTATCTAGCAACAGATGACTGACTAAAGAAAATATGGTCTAAGTACACAATGGAATGCTATTCAGACATAAAAATGAAATACTGTAATTTGCAACAACATGGATCATTATGAAGATCATTATATTAAGTTAAATAAACCAGGCACAGAGAGACAAATATTGCATGCTCTCACTCATAGATGGAAGCTAAAAAAGTTGATCTCAAGATGGTGAAGAGGAGAATAATAGTTACCAGAAGCTGCAAAGTATGCAAGGGGGTAATGGGCGGGGTGTGGGGGGAGGTGAAGAGAATTTGGTTCTCTCTACCCAAAGGTGCTATGAAAATGCATTCATCCTTAATAGTCACTCAACAAAATAAATATTAAGCATTTAATAAGGGCCAAGCACTTTCCCTCCAAATGTTCCTTGTCAGGTTATTAAAGCAAATAAATATTTTCCTTTTCCAATTTTTTAGATTTAAAATTATATTGAATGAGATAGATTTGAAAAATAATAATAAACCATTGAAACTGGAATTATAATCTAATATTTTAGCAAGCACAAACAAGAAATATTTCATTTGAATGATACCTGTTTTAATCATGGCTTCTTTTAACATTAAATTAACAATTTGCATGACTAATGTTTTTTTTATTATTATTATTATTAAATATAATATTCTATAGACAACCAGTAATCAACAATGATTATTTAATATCACTGGAGGCAAAACTCATTGCATAAGGAAGGTATATCTATTCAAAAGAAAATTAGCAAACTCAAGCAATAATTCAAAGGAGACCAGAAACCGAAACCCCATACCAGGCAGTACTATAAGAAATTTGTTGTCAAATTTCCAGTGTATCTACTAAGTATCAGTATAAGATCATAGTGAGCATCAAGGCACACAGTGCAAATCAATTCTGAGACATGAAACCAAGAATAGAGAGAAGACTGGTTCTAGTAACACACCATTCTTGTAGGTTATCAGACACTTCTATTTAAAATGTAAAACCCTAAACAGTACATCTATAGGAAATGTGTATACCTCACAAAAACATTTCTGTAAGTACATATAATATCAAAATAAATAATCATACCCATTATCCTTTATTTATTGCCACCTGTCAAAAGTAGGAGCTTCTTTTAAATGTTTCCTCCACTTTGCACTGCAAAGTCATGCTTTTTTTACATTAATTTTTTTCAAAGATCTTAAAATTATTATGTTTTTACATAGCAGTTCCGTTAATTTAACTTTTGGTTTAATATAATTCTTTAACAGAGTAAGGCCATCCTTAAATATGGTTAATAAAAATGAATAAATTAAACAAACATGACCTCTTCTCCACACCCAAACACTGATTTTTCCATATAACATTGTCTCAGTTGAGTTACTTCATCCTAAGACAACACAGTCACATATTTCTTGTCAGAATAACTGGTTGTTTATCTAAAATTGTTCACCAGAAACTACATGTCTTCCATTAATTTTAGAAGGAAAGAAGGGTGTGGAGAGATTTGACTGCTAACTGTTAAGTTTCTCCTCTGTAAAAATTCATGCCAGAAATCACAAAACAAGGGTTTCCTTTCTGAATTTTTTTAAAATTTAGAATAAAATTTATTTTCATAAAAATATATTATTATATATTATTGAATAAAGAATAAGTTACAAAATATGGCATAAGGCATTACCATAGTTTTTTTTGTTTTTGTTTTTTAATTACACTTGAATTGTCTGCATGCATTGAAGGAAATCCAAAAAGATATTCAACAAAAGGATAAGCAGTTGGTTCTGGGTGGTGTGATTATGAATTGTTTATATTTTTCTTTAAAAAAAAAAGAATTCATATTTTAGAACAGTGTAAAGTTCACAGTAAAACTGACTGCAAAGTACAGAGATGTCCTCAATGCCTGTAGCTTCCACACGTGCACAACCTTCTCCATTATCAGTATCCCCCATCAGAGAGGTTCATTTACTACAACTGATGAATCTACATATCATTGTCACCCAAAGTCCACAGTTCACATTTTTTTTTTTTTTTTTGAGAGAGCAGGATTTATTGAGAGGACAGAAAAGCTCCCACAGTGAGAGAGGACCTGAGGGGGTTGCCCTACATTATTTACTTTGGAGAATTTTCCAATACAGAAACTCCTCAACTAGAAATAAACTGGTTTCTACCTCTCTTCTTTTTTATAATTGTATTATTTCAGAAATTAGCTTATCTTTACAGGAAAAAATTTCATAAATCATGAAAAGCTTATTGATACATGAGGAAGTAACTGTTATATAACAAATTAACCATCTCCCTCACAACCCTCTGAATCCCACTCTTGTTAGTGAGTTGCATTTGTGAGAGTTCTGGTCATCTATTTAATTAATTTGCTAATGAAGTCTTTCACATTCTTTGCAACTAGAACTTAAATAAAATTCAGCTCTCCTAAATTAAAGCTCTGGCACATTACATCTATCAGCCTCATTCAACTGTTTTACTTAGTCAAAAAGAAAAAGAAAAAAATGTAATTTAAAAAATAACATACTCAGCAGCTTGTTTGTAGTGTTTCAAGTCTTTCTTTAAATTTTTGTTCTCATTTTCTAAAAGCATGATCTGGGTGTAGACATCTGGAACATTCCCAACAGTTCTAAGTTCAGTACCTCCCTTCTGTATTAACTCATACCTAGGATAAAAATCAAACAAAAGGTTTTATGTTGTTTCTTTCTACTAAATTGTTTTAATTGATACATAATTTAAAAAGTTAAGTCTCAGGAAATGTTATAGTAATCAGTTGCTATGTTACATTTATAAATTAAAATATCAACATTCATTTTTTAAAAATAAAATGTTAATAAAGTGCTAGGAACTAATATCATAATGGTATATAGCTATAACTATATAACTATAGCTATAACTATAAGTTCCAGGCATTCGTCTAGACACCGGTAAAGTTGACAACACTGTCTAAGTCTCTATCTCATTGTTTCCATTCTAGTACAGGCAGTGATAAGTTCTATGAAATAAAATAAGCAGGATAAAAGATAGAGAAAGAGTGAGGTGAGGACCCTGATGGGGTTGTTTATGCTGTTTTATATTAAGTGGTCATGACTGGCAAAGTGATCTTTGAGCAGAGACCTGAAGGAAATGAGAGACTATGCCACTGGATACCTGGGAGAGAAGCATCCAGGGCTGACAAAAGGTAATTGCCAAGGCCCTGAAACAAGGAAGTGTTTGGCATCTGCAAGAGCAAAAAAGCCAGGATATCTGGATTGCCTGGAGCTGGAGACAAGGAAGCAATGGAGAGAGTGGAGAGAGATAAGTCAGAAAAACGGTAGAGAGTCAGGGTGAGAAAGGTGATTGGACTCAATTAGAATGGAGACATGGGAAAGTTTTGAGACAAGTGACACTGATCGATTTATGTTTTTAAAAGATTCATCTGTTTGAAGAAACAATCGCTAGAAAGGCAAGCATAGAATCAGAGAGACCAGCTAGCAAGCTCCTGCAAAGGTCCAAGAGAGGGAATGGAAGCTTGAACAAAGTCGGTAGCAGTGAAGGTTGTGAGAAGCTGGGATCTTCGAGACATGCTGTAAAGGTGGAGACAACAGGCTCTCTAGTGAATCAGCTGTCAAGAGTTGATAAAAGAGAGAAATCAAGGGTGACTCCAAGGCTTTTGGCTGAGCAGCAGACATTTACTAAATGTGAACAAATGCAGGAGAAGCTGGGTGTTTGGAGTAATCAAGAAATTGTTTCCATTCATGTTAACTGAAATATATCTAGCAGACATTCAAATGAAGATGAATGTTGGGAATACGTGTTCAGAGTTCAAGGAAAAAGTTAGGGCAGGCAATTTAAATTTGGAAATCATCAGTATACAGATATTACTTAAAGTTATGATGAGACGAAGAGAACAGAAAGGCAGGGAGAAATCAAAGTTTAAAAGACATGAAGAAGTCCTAGGACTGAGCCATAAAACAGTCCATTTCTTCGGGGTGGGGGGGAGAGAAAATACTACCAAAGAGACTAAGAAGGAGAGGCCAGTAAAACAGTAATAGACTATGAGAGAGCTGTGCCCAGGGGGCATATGAAGAAAGCGGACCAAAAAGGAAGAAATGAGCCACAGTGACAAATGCTGCCAGAAGACTGAAAAGAGTACTGAGAATCAACCATTGAATTTGGCAATGTGCAAGTCACTGACAAAAGTTTCAGTAGAGTCATGGGGATGAAAGCCAAACTAAAGCATGTGTGAGATTAGGGAATGAGAAAGTAGCAGCAAACTTTTCAAGGAAGTTTTTATAGGCTATAAATCAGAATTAGGAAATCAAAATGAACTTAGAAGGGTTTTTTTTTCCTGTTTTTACATGTGAAATATTTTTGCAGAGGCATACAGGAATGATCTAGCAAAGAGAGGGAAATGTTGACAATTACAGAAGCAATGCCCTTGAGTACGTTAGAGGAGTTAGGATGGAGTAGACCAGAGTATGGCTGGTTTCTGATAACAGCTCAGTGTCTGTGACAGGAGACAAAAATGCCTGAGACTAGAAGCTGCAGACTGGTATAGAGGAAGACAGGAATCACAGAACTTCTATTTCCTCAGTGAAATAAGGAACATCAGAGAATCATTTATAGATTGTAAGTAATTACAATTTTAATCACTGTATGTAGTAATCAATAAAGCTAAAGAAAAAAATCTGAACAGAAAAACATTTAAGTAGTAAAGTTATTAACAAAGAAATCCCTACAAAGCTTATGCTAGATGAGCTAAATATTAGAGCTAAAAATGAAAAATTATCAGTATTTTTCATTTTACAAATCATTCCTTTATTAATATATTACACATTAATAAAGCCACATATTTTTGTTATATACCTTATATGATATATAGAAAAACAGCAAGAGGACCACTGTAGAATATCCTGAAGGTTAAGATAATTGAATCAATATTATATAATATTTGTCACAATTTATAAAACAAAAACAAATAACCATTTAATCATAAATTCGGTATTTTATCTATATTTGGAATGTGATTTATGCTTGTCTCAGAAGAGAAGATATAGAGATTGATTGAAGTATTGGACCATAAAGGTTTCCTGACCATGAAATTGGTTTTCAGTAACTTGCTTTATTTAATGCAGAAAAAGGTTACAAATTATCTCTACAAGGAAAAAAGTTAGAGTTTTTTCTAAATTAAATACTACAAATAATATGTGGTCAAAGAAGTACAAATCAAAATATGGCATATATTACATTATACCTATCTTAGAGCATTCAAAAATTATTTATCATGCAAACTTTGCCATCCATGTAAATATATAAAGGATGACTCTAAACTCACTATTAGGTAATACTATAAGTAATTGGGACTCTTAATCTACACACTCCAGACATATATTTCCTGTAAAATCTGCATTCTCCTAAATAAAATTTTCTGGTTTTGTTTCAGTTTATATGTATGTGTTATTCTTTTTGCTTTGTTTGTTTTAAGAAACATTCTGGCTTTTTACTGTTTACTTCTTATACCTTTACCCTTAAAATAAGAGTGAAATGTGTGTTTAGGTGGGTAAAAATGATTGTCATAACTATCAGAAATTTGAAACCTAATTTACTCCCAATAAAACTGCCAATAATCGTGACCCGCCTGGGCAGGTGAGACCTCATCTCTACAATAAATTTTTTTAAAAAATTAGCCGGGCATGGTAGCGTGCGCCTGTAGTTTCAGCTACTTGGAAGGCTGAGGCGGAAAGATCGCCGGAGCCCAGCAGGTCGAGGCTGCGGTGGCTGGGAGCGGCCACGGCACTCCAGTCTGGGCGACAGTGAGACTCCAACTCAAAATAAAAAACTGCCAATAAAATTCCATTTATAAAAAATAACATTTATCATGAAGATTCATAAACTACCTAGAATTAATTATGTAGATATGGAGAATATGTATGCAATTCAGGAAGAACATGCATAGCGCTTTCAAAAGATTTGTCTATATCCCAAGAAAGTTTAACACTCGCTGCCATAAGTGATGAAAAGTTTGACAGAATTCCAGTAAACATATAAATGGTGTCAGAAAAGCAAGGATTATTTTTCCTTCATGATGGCACCCAAGAGATAAGATGTAAAAGACAGGAGAAAAGTCAGTCAGCCTCAAATGAGAGTTTTGCACCATGCTTTCAGAAAAGGTTACAAAATATTTTACAAACAAAGTAAAAATTCTTTTAATTACGTCCAAATAGGATGTTGAAATCCCTAGCACCATCATAACTATTACTCTAGAAGCTGATAGTCCTTCACAGGAAAAAAACAGAATACAGTTGAAAAGTTTAATAACAGTCCCATGATTTATCAAGTCAATAAAGAAAAGACACACAAATTTGGACTGTAAATCGAGACATTCCTTAAGTTCTTTTAATCTCCAGCCAAGCCAAACAGCATCTTTATTATTTTTTTTTTTCAAGATTCCCTTGTATAATTCCACAATTTAGCAACGTGGTTAGGAGATTGGTCTTTAAGATCAGTATAACCTGGGTAGACTTTGTCACTTACTGGCTGCTGTTCCTTGCTGACACTTACTGAGGCAGATTTTCAGATCTCCCCAAGCCCTTTCCACATCCATGAAATGGAAGTATAACTGTGACTACCCTGCTGCATACAGCTACTGGGAGAAGTAAATTAAATACTTTGTGAAATTATACCGTGCTAATAAAAATGATACCAAAGTAAATTTCTGATAATAAGAGGGGAAAAAAAAGAGCAAGAATGGGTGAGTATGCCTGATCATGTGAACAACCCAGCCACAGGGAGAGAGATGGATAACATATGCTCAGGTAAGGATATTTAATTACACAAGCATATTTTCTCCATTTTAATCCCTTAATTTTGCCCCAAAGAAATTACCATTGTCCAAGAGTACTTCAAAATTAAATATAAAATAGCATTGACTAAGCCTGCAATGGCAACTTTTTAATGGTTCATAGATTAAATTCCTACAGCATTTACCAATATATATTATATAAAGCAGGGTTTGGCAACTTTTTTTGTAAATCAGAAAATAAATATTTCTGTAATAAAAATGACAAAAGTAATGTATATGATTAAATATTACTATAAGTCTACTATGTAGTATAGGTAAAGGTTTCTGATCAAAATTTTAAAAGTTTTTGTGAAATAAAGTACCCAATACAGTGTAATCTCAAGGTAAACAGCTAGAGATAAGGATTAAATTATTTGAACCACAATACTATTACTAAATCCATATTATAAAGAGATTTTTTTTATACAATTTTTTTTTTTTTTTTAGACAGGATCTCATTCTGTCACCCAGGCTAGTGTGCAGCGGCACAATAACAGCTCACTACAGCCTTGACCTCCTGGGCTCAAGGCATCCTTCTGCCTCAGCCTCTCAAGTAGCTAAGACAATAGGTGTGTGCTACAAGCCTGAATAATTTTTTTTTTTTTTTGTAGAGACAGGGTCTACTATATTTCCTAGGTTGACCTCAAACTCCTGGCCTCAAACTTCCTGCCTCAGCCTCCCAAAGTACTGAGATTACAAGTGTGAGCTACCAGCCAGATCTTTTTTTTTTTCTTTTTTAAGTTGGAGTCTCCTTCTGTCCCCCAGGCTGGAGTGCAGTGGCATACTCCCAGCCATCACAGCCTCAACCTGCTGGGCACTGGCGACCCTTCCACTTAGCCTTCCAAGTAGCCGGAACTTCCATGCCCAGCTAATTTTTTGACTTATTGTAGAGACGAGGTCTCTCACCATGTTGCCCAGGCTGGTCTCGAACCCGCGGGCTCAGGCAATCCTCTCGCCTTGGCCTCCCAAAGTGCTGGGATTATAGGCTTGGCCATCATGCTGGGCTACCAGCCAGATCTTTATACAAATTTTCCCTTATGATAGAAATAACATGCTAAGTGATATGCTTAATTGGGGCATCTTTAAATTCTAATATTATTATAGCATCCTAAAATTTCATCTTGTCAATTCAGATTCCTAAAACTAAAAGGATAATATGACATCACTTAATTGTTAAGAGTATTCCTGGATCCAGATTTCTCTAAGGAAATCATTTCACACTTTGGATTGGACTAGCATATAAGCACACATTCTGCCCTAACACACATTTTTAGATGACAAAAAGATAACAGAACCACATTAATCTTTCATTTTATTAGTACCATAAATTACCTGCCTACTTTTACAAAAATGTATTTTCTAATGCATTTGTAATTATTTCTAACGGATATTTTTTATTAAAAATTATTTTTTAAATCATTCACATAATTTCCAGATTTAAAAGAAGCAGTATTCTTTTTGTACCATTAAACTTGCTGTTTTTCTTAGACCGCATTAGTGCAAATGATTCTTCTCATTAAAGTTATTAATATGTGCAATTTAAAATAATAAAACTGATTACTTTTATGTGCATTTTCTTAGTAGAGGAGAACCAAAAATAACAAAATTAAAAAACAAAACATAAAAACTACACCACAGCTGGATGAATAGAAATAACAAATTATTCCTATATTTAAAATTAGGATTTAGGGGCAACCCCCTCGGGTTCCCTCCCACTGTAGGAGTTTTTCTGTCTTCTCAATAAATCCTGCTTTCTCACTTAAAAAAAAATAAGGATTTAGTCCAGAAGCACCAAAAATATCCTTACATATCATATTAATCACTCTTTCTATATATGCAATAGCTATTAAAGTTCAAACTTACATTTGTGTATCTAGTCATTTAATAGTATTTCTTTTAAAAAGTTAGTAATCTGAAAATACACCTGGTCACATTATTACTATAGAAAAAGGAATAACAACAGCATGCCTACTGATTTTCATAACCAATAACTTTTGAGTATTTACAACTATAATAAGAAAATCGTGTGCTTAGGTAATATTTAAAATACAATTCCACTTCTACATGAAAGAATATTGATAGAAAAAGAATCAATCAGTCATATGAATAGAAGAAGTTAGACTATTACACTATACATAAATCAAGTAAACAAGATTAATATGGTAGCTAAACACAGGAAATATTACTCTTAATAATTATACAAAAATATTTCATATATAGCTTTGTGTAATATAACTCCAGGAAATATTTCACTTTCTTGACTTGTTGAAAATCACTTTACTCTAAATATTTAAGAAAGATGTCTAATAAAAATGTATTTTCAATTGAGTTTCTGATTTTGGTGTGTGTGTGTGTGTGTATGTGTGTGTGTGTGTGTGTGTGTGTGTGTATGTAGAGGTGGAGACAGGAAAGACTTCCATCCATTCTGCATAAACTGAGTCATTTCAAAGTCTGCTAAGACAGTTTAAAGTGGACACATTAAATGTTGTTAGCATTTCAAGAGACTATTAAGTCACATAATTGTTTACCATTCAGACTGAAAGCAATCAAGAGTTCTGGTCATTCCCATTTTGATGAGGAAGTTGCAGAGAAAGTCTTCTATTACTTCAGGCACAGGCTTTGAAGGAAGAACTGTTTTCTGTTCCTGAAATTTAAATGTGCAATTATTTATTTTGAAAACATCAAAGCACGGATTAATGGTATAGATAGGTCTTTGATTCATTTATTCACACATTTTTTTCAACAATTTTTGTTGAGTGACATATGTCAGGAATATTTAAATCAAAAGGGATAAAGCAGATAAAAACAAACAAGTCTCTGTTCTTATATCTAACAGTAAGTGGATGGAGACAGACTATGAATAACTGAAAACATAGTATGGCAGATGGTACTAACTGGGGGGCGTAGAGAACTAAAGATAGGGAGACCCAGGTTTAGGACAAATATGTGTGTGGAGCTGGGTTGCTATATATGTGGGGTGGTGAAGATATCATTGACAAAGTGCTATCTGAGCATAAATCTAGACAAAGAGGGAGAGTGACTCACATTCCAGATACAGAATCAGCAATTGCAAAGACCCTGAGGCAAGAGTGTGATTGGATCATCTGAAGGACAGTAAAGAGGTCAGCCTGCCCTTTCAATTTTAAAAAGAAGAAATAATGTAAGTACAGACCTTTTAATTGTTTTAATTGTCATTATAAAGAGAAATGGGAGGATTCTAGTTCTTTGATTTTTAGAAACACTATGGGAAAAATAATGTGTGATAAAAGAAACTTGTACTACTGTTCCATATGGAAGTAAATAAATCTACCAACTAGATCAGAGGTCAACTAACTGTTCCTATGAATAAAAGTTTGCTAAAATACAGCCACACCCATTTGTTTTCTTACTGTCTACAGATTTTTTTTTAACTACATGAGACAGCTGATTAGTTGCCACAGAGACCTTATGACCTTCAAAACCTAAATTACAAGCTGGGTTTGGTGGCTCAGCCTGTAATCACGCACCTTGGGAGGCTGAGGTGAGTGGATTGCCTGAGCCCGTGGGTTCGAGGGCTGCCTGGGCACTTGGTGAGACCTCATCTCTACAATAAATCAAAAAAATTAGCCGGGTGTGGTAGTGCGCGCCTGTAATTCCAGTTACTTGGAAGGCTGAGGCGGAAGGATCGCTGGAGCCCAGCAGGTCGAGGCTGCGGTGGCGACAGAGTGAGACTCCAACTCAAAAAAAAAACAAAACAAAAAAACACCTAAATTACAAGTTGAGTCATCCCTAATCCAAAAATCCAAAACCTGACATACTCCAAAAGTTTTGAATGTCAGCAATATGCCACAAATTGAAAATTCCACACACAAGTAGTTAATACAAACTTTGTTTCATATGCAAAATTATTTAAAATATTGTATAGAATTACCTAGTATATGAAAAATAAATAAATTCCATATTTAGACTTGGGTTCCATCCCTAAGCTATCTCATGATGTATGTGAGATTAAATAGTTCAAAGTTAAAGCTGTTGAGATTGTAAATTATTTAAGCCTTGAGAAGAATGTAACTATGTGGCCTGAGTCTCCCAGCATGCAGCTGCAACTTCTTCTATTATAAATTATTTCTCTTCCTCATTCTTGTCCTGTAAATGATCAGGAAAGACAGCATGGCGTCAGAGATAAGATCCCTGGAGATCATTACACCCTTACAGAATTCCTTGGAATGTAGCAAGCTATAACTAGTCAAATCACCACAATGTTTGTATTCACCTTCTATGGAAAATGTTGCCACTCTGTTAAACCTCCTTTTTATGCCTGTAACTAAAACCGTATCTTCCTCAGGTTGAAATACAAACCCATTTTTTTGAAGTCTGCGTTTCTCAGGTGGCTATTCTCAACCTTTGCATGTGAATAAACTCTGTACTTAATCACATTTTCAAATCTTATTTTTTATAGTTGACATATATATGCAAATATTCCAAAATCTGAAACCATCCAAAACCTGAAACACCTCTGGTGCAAGAATTTTGGATAAGAGATATTCAACCTGTATTTACTATTTTGAAAGAACAACTTTTCAGACCCCTAAACTAGAAAAATAAAGATATGACAAATGAAACTGGGACATAAGTCATAAGTCAGTGTGCAAAATAAATCAAATAATAAGTAGTTTCTTAAAAGTATCAAAGCAGCCGGGCTCGGTGGCTCAGCCTGTAATCCCGCGCCTTTGGAAGGCTGAAGTGAGTGGATTGCCTGAGGCCGCGGGTTCGAGACACGCCTGGCCAACTTGGCGAGACCTCATCTCTACAATAAATCAAAAATTAGCCGGGCGTGGTAGCGCGCGCCTGTAGTTCCAGCTACTTGGAAGGCTGAGGCGGAAGGATCGCTGGAGCCCAGCAGGTCGAGGCTGCGGTGGCCGGGAGCGGCCACTGAACTCCAGTCTGGGCGACAGAGTGAGACTCCAACTCAAAAAAAAAAGTATCAAAGCATCCTTTTTTCTCGAGAGCTTTCATTTTCTTATTGGCAAGAAGTTGAAATAGCTAATGAAATATATAAAATAATTGCAAGAACTTGCTTGACATAAGTCACTCCATTTTGTTAAAATCCTCCATCTTAGCTGCCTATCTGACCTAAATTGACTCCCCGCAATGTATATGCGTGATTGTTGTAACGTTTCCATGACCACAGGCCCACAGCTTTGTTCCCCTGAGCCGTTCACGCTGACCATTCTTGCTGGCAGTTTGAAACTCCCTAGCTACATGTTCTGTGTAATTGTACACTTTGTTAGCCAAAATCAGATGTTGCACCAAGAGATTGCTCTTTGCAAAATTCCCCCGCCACATTCTCATGTTTTATTTTTATATTTTGTTCCCTTATGTTTGGAATTCCTTGTTCTCTTACTCTACTCCCCCTGCTATGTACCCCACTTGTGGTTTTTGCCTTTATAAGCTTCTTGCTAGTTTAGTTCGGCATCAAGAGCTTCTTGGCATGAGCCTACTCTTGATCAAGCACTATTAAAGGACTCATAATTAGAACTTGGTGTGCTGGCAATTCTCCTTTCTCACAGTTTGGTCATAACAAAGCCACTAATTTATTTGCTGATCATTTGAATAAGCAGATCAATTTTCACCTACAGAAATTTGGCAGCAAATTTTCCTTCCTCTTTCTTTTTCCTAACCTGGTAATGGTTATATACCAGGTGACATAGGATGCACAGAATGTTTACACAGAAATGTACTGAGGAGAGAGGATCTTTTTGCCTTTAATAGTTTTTTACAAAAGTTCTATACATAATTTAACACTGATGCTCATTACTAGTAGCTGCTATGATATTCAGAGTGGAGGGAGTTGTGGCAAATTTGGGAAGTTACAGAAACAGAAAAATCTTAACAAATGTGCAGGGCTCAAAATGATTTTTTTCAAAAGTTTATTTAGAATAATTTGGACTACCCCTCCTAAGATTATTAAAAAGGTATTATATCAATGTGCAGGACCCTATATCAAATCTTATCACAGATGCCAAAAGAGCAGAGTATAGATAGCATGCCCATCTTCAAGGGTTTACAGTCTGGTGATCACTAGCACAGAAGATTAGATATAATTGTACAATGAGGATATATATAGCTGGAAGTAAACATTCATTATACAATAATAAATGCTACCTTGGCTTTTTTAGTCAATAAATTTGAAAATGATATTTTAGGATGAGATAGGAATTGGGATAACAAGAGGAAAAATAAGACAGAGAGAGTGGAGGGAGGTGTGTCTACTCATTTCTAAAGATCCCTGTGGGCTTCTTATAGGATGTTTATTGTATGTATGGTTGCAGTACACATGGTAAATTCCTGCCCTCTCAGATAAAGATTTCCATTCTGTCTCTTCCTGAACATAGCTAATGCACACACCTTTAAAAACTGTGGTTGACTAGTGAGAAATAAAAATAAACACTAAAATCCAAGTGGTCTAAAACATAAACCTTAATTGATTTGGGGCTTCATTTCATCAACTCCTTAATTCACACTAAGTCAAATATACTGGCTTGGGCAATCTATAGGCAAGGCTTTGAGTACAAGAAACATGGTTTTCTAATTGAAATTAAATGTGTACATTAAAAGACTTGGGGCTCAATAATGACAAATTGGTCTTTTTATTGGAACTTAGTACATGAGCCTATAAAAACTAAAAAAAAATTATATATGTATATAATTCATTCACATTATATGTAAGATTTAAGATAATGGCATTTATCATCATGAGATTAAGATCTAAATGAGAGAAACACAACTTTACTAATGTAAACTGTTTTTGTTATATTGCCATAATTCTTAAATAAAAATATTTGATATTAATTCTTAACCAATATATTTGAAAATATCTTAGTATACAATTCTATAAATCGTCTCAAACTTCAAGTTGTCAGAACACTTTTGTACTCTTAAAAGTTATTGAGGATTCCGTGAGTTTTTGCTTATTTAAGTGATATCTATCAAGAATTACCACATTGGAAATAAACTTTTAAATATTTACCTAATTTACAATAACTATAATAAAAATTTGCATGACCTATCACCATATAAAATATTAACTCAGAATGAATTGAAGATTTAAATGTGAAACATCAAACTGTAAGAATCTCAGGAGAAAACTTAGGGAACACCCTCTTAGACGTCAGAATAAGCAATGAATTCATGGCCAAGTCTTCAAAAGCAAAGGCAACAAAAGCTAAAATTGGCAGATGGGATCTTATCAAGCTAAAATTTTTTGCAAAGCAAAAGAAACCATCAAGAGACTAAAGAAGCAGCCCACAGAATAGTGAAAATATTTGTAAGCTATTTATCTGACAAAGGCCTAACACCCAGAATCTACAAGAAACTTGAATTAACAAGAAAAAAACAAATAACCCCATTAAAAAGTGGGCAAAGGACATGAATAGACACTTCTCAAAAGAAGACATTAGAGCAGTCAAGAAACATATTTTTAAAAAATGCTCACCTTCGTCAGAGAAATGCAAATCAAAACTACAATGAGATACCACTTCACAATGGTCAGAATGGCTATTATTAAAAAGTCAGGAAACAACAATTGTTAGTTATGGAGAAAAGGGAACATTTGTACACTGCTGATGGGAATGTAAGCTAGTTCAGCCTTTGTCAAAAATAGTATGGTGTTTTTTCAAAGAACTAGAAACTGAACTATCATACCATCCAGCAATCCCACTTCCGGGAAAATACTCAAGAGGAACATAAATTGCTCTACCCAAAAGACACGTGCACACATATGTTCATTGCAGCACTATTAACAATAGCAAAAGCATGGAACCAACTCAGATGCCCATCAAAAGTAGACTAGATAAAGCAAATGTGGTACATATATACCATGGAATATTATGCAGCCATGAAGAACAAAATCAGTCCTTTGCAGCAACATGGATGCAGCTGGAGGCCATCAAAGTGGATTATCACAGAAACAAAACACTGAATGCCACATATTCTCACTCATAAGTGGGCCCTGATCACTGGACATAGGAGCACAGTGGTAGGACGAGCAAAGGCTGGACAGTGATGAAAGAGAAAGGAAGAAGGGGAAAAGGGCACACAACCACACAGTGAGTACCAGATCCACTATTAGGAGAAGCTCAAACCTCACCTGCACACTGTTTACTTTTTTTAGCAAATCCTCATATACACCCTACAACTCTAAATTAAAATAAAATAACAGATTAATATGAAAAAACCCTACATTTTCCAAAACAGAAAAAAAGTGAGAAAAGTATCACTGTTACAAATTCTTAAAAATCTTTTCATGTCTAGAGGAAACAGCTAGATCCCCATATTAGCTTCTCCACACAACCTGTTCTGATAAGTTGTCCTGATTGAAGTATATGAAGAAAATTCAAGCGCAGATGTATAGTTGGAAAATGGATGACAACACAAACTCCCTGAAAGCGGTCTTAAGAACCCCCAAAGGGCCTCCCATAATACATTCAGAACTGCTGATACATATACTAAACAACATTGTAGCTGTGGTCAATCAACAGTTAGTCTTCTCTAAGAATACTTGAATATTTCAAAGGAATGCCATAAATTCTACTTTAATTTTCCGAGGAGGAGAAAGTGCAAGAGGAGAAGGAAAAGAGGGGACAAGAGGGGATTTGAGGGAAAATGTCAGGGATGATCTGGGTGCCTTGCTACTGTCATCTTTAAAGATCAAAATCCTAATTTTATAAAAATTGAAAGTCATCATAGACTGATAGCAATACAAAAGATCTTTGAGATTGTACCTCAAAAATTAACAGAACAAAAAACCAAGAACCAAAGAAGCTAAAGACTTACCAAAAATAAGGTAATAATAAATGCATAAGAAGGCTTGAGCTTGAAAGGGAAGAGACTCAGTTGAAATGTAAGTAGATCTTTATTTTCATAAAACCACATACTCATATGTATAAATATACACACATACACATAAGGAATATATATATTCTTACATCTACTTATATTTATATTTGGAAAAGACTTCAGTTTCAAGAAACAACTGACAGTATAACCACACTACAAAATTGTTACAGAGTAATAACATATCCTGTCTTCTTCATCGTTTCAAAAAATAACTTTAAATATAATGAAAACATTTTATTAAGAATACAGAACATTGCACCTATTGAGGAAACTGATAGTGCATCAAGTATAAAATTTTTTTTTTTTTTTTTTTTTTTTTGGGTTGGAGTCTCATTCTGCAGCCCAGACTGGAGTGCAGAGGCCGCTCCCGGCCACCACAGCCTCGACCTGCTGGGCTCCGGCGATCCTTCTGCCTCAGCCTTCCAAGTAGCTGGAACTACAGGTGCGCGCTACCATGCCCGGCTAATTTTTTGTAGAGATGAGGTCTTGTCAAGTTGCTTATAAAATAAAGCAATCAGTTCTTAAATATTTAATCTATATTGATTATCTAAGTTTAAAGAAAATTATAAGAGCTTATTTAAATGTTAACTATTCAATTAGTAGTCTTTGTTAATGTTTTAACAAATAAGACTATTTATATTATTTCCACTTGACTTTCCTAAAAGTATCATTACCTTTTACCTGCGATTTTTAATAAAAACATGAAAAGTCCTTATTGCAGAGGAACTACTGCACCCCATAATGTGGAAGAAAATATATATTATTTATTATATTCAGATACCTAAGATCATAACAAAAGAAAATTGATTTAAACAATCTGTATTCTATAAAAGAGAAAACCCATTGCACAACTTAAAGCTAGTTACTAAAGATTGGAATACTACAGAAATAAAAATCAAATTTAAAAACATAACATATGCTTATGATAAAATGAACTCATGAACTTGCAAATTACAGTTTGGTACAGAATTTTTTTATTCAATGATTCCTTTATTCATTCACTTACTTAACTGCTATTTATTTAGTGCCGACTATGTGCCAAGCGTATCTACTTTACCAAATTCCAACAAAAACATTTTAGAATATTTATTTACTTAATGATATAAACCAAAACGATGATGAGCAATAAATAAACATACCCGCTGCACTTCATTTTAAATGCTCTATTCTAAAATTATTCCTACAGACTATTGCACTGAGATATCCAACTGACTGACGAGCCTGTGCTGTAGGCCTCATTGTGGGTCTTCCTAGAAAAAACTATATCCACAGTATGCCTTAGGGAATGCTGTTTACTATGAGCTGTAGTCCTCCATTTATAACAGAATGGAATCAATTCTGACTTCATGAAATATTTCTCTTAAGCTTTCTTTTTTTCAATTATGCATGGGCAGATATTCTGGAAAGGAGTTATTGGATTTCTAGACTGAAGAAATCTGCAGAATACGGAAAGATTGGCACAAGGTACATAATATGGGGTAAAGCCTCATATACTATTTCACACCACGGAAGTCAAATCTACAACTAAATTAAGAATATCACAATTTCCTTCAGTTTCTCAAAAGGAAAAGGTTTTATCATTGAAAGAAAACATTCTTCTTAATGTTGGTATATTAAAAAATGCCTTTAAAAATATTTTTGCTATTGTTACATTATTGTCAATTTTTAAATGTGTTTTCAACTTTATAGGAATACCATCAGTTTTATGTAATTTTAGTTAGTGGTATTAGAACAAAAAGCATCCCCTATGGTATTCCTTAACAAGATTAGTTCATAAGCATCTGTATATGTTACAAATTCTAAACATCAGCGTTAAAAATCCTTGGTTTAGTCTCCAGTGATAGTAATCAGACAGGGTTCTGAGGGATGGCGTCACTTGTTACAGAGTCATGCAAGAGTGACCATGATGAGAACAACGGCAAAAACAAGCAATATGACTGCTTTCATTAAGTGATGGCTTGATGAGAAATATACAAATGAAAATGACATAGCAAGCTACAGGGCTCAATTTAATAAATAAGGTATTTAAAGTTTAAATTACTTTCAAAACTTCATATAAAAGGTATTACTAGTAAGTCATAAGCTAAAATAGGTTTCAAAATTCTCACCAAAATTTTTGTATCTGTGGCCTGTTCTTGGACAATCTGAATTGCTTTTGCCAGGTCTTCTTCACCCTCCGGAATGCTAAAATTGTCATCTGCTATCTAGATTACAAAGAAAGAGGATACCAAGAGTGAACAGAAATGTAAAACACCTTATTTCATTTCAGAAATAATTTTTCTTCACTAAGCAAAGTATCAAAGAAATACATTTTATGTAAGACATCATGTCATTCTGAAGATATATAAAAAATTAATAACTAACAAGCAGGAAGCTTACTGACTTCCTTGTAAATATCAATCAATGTCACTTTTAACAAACTCAACACTAGCTTGTGGGTAACTGCTTTATTCTATAATGGCAAATGTGGTCTAACAATTCTGCTGGGGGGAAAAAAATTGTTAGGCTATCTAAATACTACCATTCTCTCCCCATCCCAGGTTTTTTCCACTGTTACTTTTTTGTAACTACTAGCAACTGAAAATTTCTAGTCTATTAAAAAAAAAAATTCACGGTGTGTTAAAACATTGAAAGAATGCTATGGATTGCAATTATGTACTAATAATAGCTAACATTTATCACATGCTTCTTATGCTGAGCATTGCTTTAAACCTTTTACATGTATTAACTCATTCAGTAACTTCATGTGGTATGTATTATCTCCATTTTACCAGCAGGAATAAAAATCCTATCTTCCATGTATGTCCTGTCTCTTATTTACCTAGGTTTACCAGGCTTTCTTCCACACAGCTTCATTCATGGCTTCTGTCACTTAGGAGTTATTTTATCCTCCAAGTCCCAGAAGTAATGACAGGTCTCAGAACAACGAATTAAAGGAAAGTGTTGAAATAGGAAGCACATTATACAGAAGTACAGTTAAGCTGGAAGGATGCATGAGACCTGAGCTCCAACTGAGTAGTGGAAATTTAAGAATCCCCACCAAGAGCCAACTGAATGATGAGAAATACCTCCTGAACAAAGATGACAGTCTATGGTATGGATCTATAAGGCAGGTGATAAGGAGTTTAAGCTGAATGACAATTAACTGGAAAACCAAAGAAGTCAGGTATAATCCAATGTAAATGTTTAAGCAGAATTTTATATTTCATTCTTAATCAGCTAATATTAGCTAAATTCAGTTGAAAAACCAGTATCTCTTAAGCAAAAAAAATTGCTTACATATTTCAGAAAATAAAATTAATATTTTATGAGAATGATGTATTAAATTTACAGAATAAATATCTAAAATTAACAAATTACCTCTTCATATTCACAGTCATCTTCAGATGCCTCTGTTATGGTGACTTCTGAATATCTTGTCAAGTTTTAATCTCAAAAAATATGGAATAAAATTATTACACCAAAAATGAACTTGACCTTAAAATACAGTATTGGATTCAACTGACAAATATATGTGACTTAATTTTTAAAAAATTTTTGTTCCCCATGCAGTCTGTAAATCTAGATATTTTAAAATAAAATATTTTAAGTTAATATTGTTAATTATTGTCTCTCACAACCCAAATTAATGAAAAACCATACTTCTATCTGTTTGACAATTTACTAATAATTTCTAGCTTGATTCTAAAAAGGTTTACAAAAATATACATCGTATCATAAGGTAGCATAAATTATAGAGAGAAGAAAAAATTGTAAATTTTTCAAATTTATCTTAAACCTCAATGAACTTTCCAGAGCTCTGGAGTCAATTATTCATAGTGCATGAATTAAGTGTGACTTTGTTTTAAAGCATTGTGAATAAACAAAAGGCAAACTAAAATTGAAATATAAGTAAAAAAACATATGTCAATGTTTTTATCAATTAAACGTTTACTTATATTTCTACCTTTTATATATCTCAATTTTAAATGATCCTTCTAGGAAAGAAGACCTATTTTTTAAGCAAATATAAACTATGTAGCAATTGTAATTCGATATTTCATAAATGTTCAAGATGTTAAATATCAATATAAATGATTCTAACATAAGCATGTGTACTGCTGTAAGACTTTCAAAAATTGTGTTACTCCAGTTACAAATGAAATCTTCAAGATAACATTTTACATTAAAATAAATCACAAAACACATCAGTAATGCTTTTGTTGTTGTTTTTAGGGTCACATATTTTTCAATTACACTGATCTGATAATGCCAAATGTAAAAGATGTGAATTAAAAACCTTAATGCACAGTAATGGCTATGAAAATAAAAGATGAAATTAATCCATTTTTCATGTGCCGTTGATCATAAAAAATTATCTCTGGTATTATGTCTACTAAGAGTTAGCTGAAAGTGTATATGAAATCTTCTGTTGTTTGTAACAAGAACAGAAAACACACAGTATTTGATAGGAGCCAGGCACTGTTCTAAGGGTTTCCTTGTTATTCTGCCTATGGGGCTGAAATGATCAGTAGCTCATTTTACAAATCAGGAATCACAGGCACAGCTAGGGCCTAGTAGAGTTAGGAATCAGTCCCAGAACTTCGAGTTTCACAGTGTTATACTGCCTCTTAATATTTTTTGTGGATTTTGTGCTATATAAATACTTGAAGTGTTTGCCAATTATCTTTCAGAGTTCTAAACCTCCAATTGTATTCTTGTTACCCAGTTCCATTATAAGTAATCGCTCTTCACTGTCTTCCTTATCCCTATCACTTGAAGGAGACATAAGACTTTTTCTATTATGACCAGTCCTCAGATACCAAGTACTTTTCAAAAGGCCAGTATTTTATTGCTAAACGTGAGTGAGTGCCTCTCCCAATAATATGGTAAAAGGTAACTGGGCTCAAAAATGGCTAGCTGAAAGATTAAGCAGCAATCACACAAAAAATCCTGCACATCTGCAGTCTACCCCATAACCATAATTTGCAGTTTCAGAATAGTTGGCTTTGGGACTGCATCCAGAGCTGATGAGTCTCAAAGGACTGGCTTAACCTTGTTCAATCATCAGAAACTGCTGCTGAAGGCAGGGAAGACCCTCTCAATGGCCAGTAAACTTACTTTCTCAATCTCAGAAGCCATATTCTTAGTGTTAAGAATGCCCAGAAAGATGAAATAATTAAAAGGTGATTAGAGGAGCAGAAAGTCCATATAAAAGGAGGCAGATAACAAAAAAATACTTCCACTTTCCTAGGGTCCATGTATTCCATTACTCTTCCTTGAACAGTCTTTTTTCAGACAAGCAACAAAATCAATTAACCTTTAGCTTTCTTAGAGCAAATTCCTTCCAGCTTGCATCTTTCAGTTGGAACTAGGCACTCCCAAATGTCCAGTCACACATTAAGAGGCAGCCCCTAATCACAATTACAACTGAAAACTTACCCAAGCTGTGGTGATCTCTAATAGAGAATTCACTAACAAAAGACAATTAACCTTTCCAAGGTCTGGATACACCTACTTGGCCCTTTATATATCTAGTCTTATATTTTATAATGTTTTCTAATAAGAGTTCTACAGAGGAGTCTTGTACTCCATAACTCGACTTCTTAAAGTACCTGTGATAGCTAAGAACTATGCCATGTATGTTTGTGTCTCACCTTGTAGAAGTTTAAAACACAAAAGCAAAAGAGAACTAGTTGGCACCATTACATTTAGGAGGTTACAAGGAAGGGGTGTTGAGAGGTAAGAATTATTTGTCCTGAACACAGTGTCTCAACCATTATAAAGAATATGGCACTTTTATGAATGAAGACATGCCCTCCATAGTAGATCTTGCTTATATTTCAGGTTTGGACCACATTCATTTTCCCATGTCCTTTATGTTTGAATGTTGAAAAGCAGAAAAGTAGGTGCTTTTCTGGAAGATTCAAGCCAACCTCTTTCAAGTCTTGCTCAATACTGACAGTTCATCGTGTAATGTAAGACAGGGGTCTCCAAGCCAAGGGCCACAGACTGGAATTGAGTAGCACAGCAGGAAGTGAGCAGCCAGCAAACAAGCAAAGCTTCATCTGTATTTACAGCCACTCCCCATAATTCACATTACCACCTGAGCTCCACCTCCTCTCAGATCAGCAGTGGCATCAGATTCTCAGAAGGGGCACTACCCTACTGTGAACTGTGCATGCGAGGGATCTAAGTTGCACACTCCTTATGAGAATATCTCATGCCTGAAGATCTGAGGTGAAGCTGAGGCTAGCACTGGGGAGAGGCTGTAAATACAGTTAACATTAGCAATGAGGTTTGACTGCATAGCCCTCCCCCTCTCTGCTCCCCACCTCATCCATGGAAAAATTGTCTTCCACAAAACTGGGTCCTAATGTCAAAAAGGTTGGGGACCGCTAATGTGTGAGGAGCATGGTTTCAGTCATAAATAAGGGAAGTCCAGGGCCAAACTGCAATAGATTAGAAGGGATTAAGTATGTGCAAAGTGGAGGACATCTGTGTGTGCTATAATTTTTATTTATCCACTGCATTAGCTCAATTACATTACCTGAAAGCTAAAGACTTTAAACCAAAGAAAGTCTCACTTCGGCAACTATCATAATTGCCTTAAGAAACAATGTCAAATAACATTATACAGGCAACTGTTAATTATGCATGTGCAGAGAGCCCAGAGATACAGGGATAATTGGCATTCACAAGCAATCTTCAAACTTCATTTTAACTAAGAGGTAAAGCCTCTCTTATGACTAAACCTCTTCCCCAAACATTGAATATAGCAAACTCGGCTGGTTAAATGTTTAAATGTGCCATCCTCTGACTACCTTTTGGTTGAAACATAAAATAGTAGTCAGCCAGCCAAAAAAAGAGAAGAAAAACAAAGGGGTTAGATAACTCACAGACTTAGCATTAATAATAAAATCCTAAAAAGCTCAGAGTTGCTTATTCTTGTAAATGTGATTATTTGAAAGAGTCTGTGTAAGACAGGTTTGCAAACTGCTAGATGTTGGCAGTTGTGACTCAGTGATCTGCCTGCAAATTAAGTAAACCTGATTTTCAGTGCTGAACGTTGCATTCCGTGGCAATCCTACAACTTATTTCACAAAGATGTCTGCAAAAAGTTACCTCATTCTGTCAGTCACATGTTAACCATCAACCTGTGTTTATAGAAATCATTTTAATGAAGGCAAAAATGACAAGATGCCTAGATAACTTTATACACGTTATAAACTCAGAATTATTCAAATCATTTTTTAATTTAAAAAGGAATTATTACTCTAAGAGAGACTGTTAAAGCTACGAAAACAGAATCTAAAACCTCATTTATGACACTAAAGCACCCATACATTTCATTCAAATTGATTTCAAACTATTCAAATTTATATTCCTGTAAAAATCATTTTTGCACCCAATAAAATACTACACGTTTTCTTTAATCTTTCAACTAGATTCTTCAAAGCTCTCTGTAGCATGGATGTGTACTGAGCCTGGGTCAGGACAGGTTAATCGGCTTGCCAATGCTCACAAAATGAAACATTGCTGAATTTCTGAAATCCTGAATTAAAGCTGGGTGGATTATAGTTGGACAAAAAAAAGAAGATAAGGCAGATTTTGAAGTTTCCTTGATGTCCTTAAGAATAAAACAGATAACCATCTCTCTCTTACCTGCCTGAAGAAAGGAATTAGACGTCTTTTTCTCAAGAACCCTCCCCACCTTTCCAGTACAATTAATCTATACTCCGAGAGGAGGAGAACTCTAAAACCTTACACAAGAAATAGCGGGCCTAATTATCTAGATATGGTTATTCCATTTTCCTGGCGCTCCCACCAATAATCGCTTGTCTCTCTCTGCTTTCTTCCTAACGTCTCTGAGCCGTGTGGACTCACCAGGTCATCATTTAGTTGCTCAAGAAAAACATCTTATTATTTATTTATTATATTATTAATATGATGATGATGATGATGATGATGATAGTGAAGAAATTGGCAAAATGGAAACTGCGCAGGAAGCTGATGCTACGCCAAGGATGTAAGCTCCGGATGCCTGGACCATCTCAAGGTGCAGGGGTAGGAGATTCTGAGCTTCCACTCGTTCAAGGCCAATGCCAGAGGTCGTTCCCTCATCTCCTGACGTTCCCCCATGAAAGTATGGAGGCGGGATTCTGAAAGCTCCAGGGCTTCTTTAGGAAGACCAGGGCCCTTGACCTACAAAAGCAGCGGCCCAACCACGATGCCTCGAGGGGCCACTAGGCACGAGACCCCGGGTCTCTGGCCTCCTCTTCCGGCAGGGACGGGGCATCCCGCACGCCCCAAAGGCGAGCCTTCCAGCGAGCGGCCGTCGGGGGCGCGGCGGGGGCA